CCCGAAGACAGAGTTCCAGAGGCCTGGAGCCGATGTCCAGCTCCGCTACCAAACTGGAATGTTTAGTCGATTCGCGAAACCCTGAGCCCTGATGTATACGGAACAGATACTAGACTTGATCAAACCCCTTGTCTGCATCACATGCTGCAGCTGCTCTAACATCTGCTTATACTCTCAGTGGGGGGAGGGGGGTCGGTAGGTCCCAGGCCAGAACTGATCGGGTGGGGGGTCCCAAGAACAGAGTTCCAGGGGCCTGGGGGTGCCGCGGTGCGGCGGGGGGCATCGGTGGGTTTCAGGCCGGAGATTGTCGGGTGGGGGGTCCCAAGAACGAGGTTCAGAGATTTGGGGGTGCCGGGGCTAGGCGGGGGGCATCGGTAGGTTCCAGGCTAGAAATTGCTGGGCGGGGGGGGGGGGGCCCAAGAACAGAGTTCCAGAGGCCTGGGGGTGCCGGAGCGAGGTCGGGGGCATCGGTAAGGTTGCAGGCCAGAAATTGCCGTTCGGGGGGGCCCTTAAGAACAGAGTTCCAGAGGCCCAGTGGCGCCGGGGCGCGGCGGGGGGCATCGGCAAGCTTCAGGCAAGAAATTGTCGGGTGGGGGGTCCCAAGAAGAGAGTTCTACAGGCCTGCGGCCTAGGAGCCCCTGGCGCGGGGCGCGGTGGGTGGCATCGGTAGGTTTCAGGCCAGAATTTGTCGGGCGGGGGGTCCCAAGACCAGAGTTCCAGAGGCCTGTGGGTGCCAGGGCGCGGCGGGGGGCATCGGTAGGTTTCAAGCTAGAAATTGTCGGGTGGGGGGCCCCAAACCCACAGGGTCCATGGATCTTCTTCCAAGAACCGAAGCGTAAGTTCTTAGAGGAAGACCCTGGGTCTTAGACTAAGACCCTGAACTACAAGCATGCCAAAAAGGCAAAATGATGATGACGATGATGTTGTTGACGACGATGATGCTGGTGATGATGATGGATGACGAGGGTTATGATGATTATGATAAAGATGAAGATGACCAGGGATATGATGATGGTGATTGCATAGGTTTGTATTGCGTATAGAGCAATACGCTAGGTTTCGAGGCTTTCGGATTTGGCAGTGCGCTAGCAAGGGGAAGTTTCGGAGCCCATGGAGTTTCGGATGCAATGCCTGGGTTTGGGGTGCGTTGGGTCTCGGTGAAACGTTTCAATGTTTGGGCGTCTGGGGCATGGGCCGTTCGCGCGCGTGGGTCTGCGGTCAGGGGCAGGAGCTTTGATTTCCAGGGGGCATGAGAGTGAAAAGGAGAAGGGGGAGGGGGCGGGGGAAAGCGAAGGGGTGGGAGGGGGGGGGATGAGACAGGAGGGAAGGGGGCGCGAAGGGAGCGGATGGGGGGGGGGAGGGAAAGGAAACGCAAGGGACAGTGGGAATACGAGAGAGGACAAGGGGTCGGGCGACTGTTGCAGCCGTTTTGGCCCCAAAGATGCCTGCCAAAGCACGGGCCCGCGGGGCCCCATAACCAGAAGAATTGCCGCACATATGTCGCGAGCAGGCGCCGACGCCTGAGACGATCAAGTACGCCACCCATATCAGTGACCCGCTGAACGTGACCCTGCTGAGGGCTCGCAAAGAGCTCGTGAATGCTGTGAGGAAGCCCATTCATCCCCAGACGACGATTGACAAAGTGCCCTTGGCGAATGTCTTCGAGACCTGCGCTAAGGAGAAGGAGGCCGACGAGAGCTGGAACTTGTCGACTAAGCAGAAGTCCTGGAGCCTCGAGAGTGCCAAGTCGTTGAGGGCCATGCTGCGACACGTCGAGCAAGCACGCGTCAAAGCTAGGACACGCGTTTAAATCTGTTTGTTTTACTCGCCCTGCGGGCGGGGGTCGGGGGCGGGGTTGCAGCGGGGAAGATGGGGAAGGGATCCGTGGAACGGGGGGGGGAGGGGGATGCGTGGAACGGGGAGGGGTGATTTGGGGGGAGGTGGCGAGGGATCTGCGAGCGCGACGCCCGCCAGGAGCAACGGCAATTGGCCGCAGTGGCTGGCCGGCGACTTCAAGGCTGGCCGGGGAGGGGGGTGAGGAGGCCAGGGCGCCTCCACCACCTCCTCCCCCTCCTCCCCCCCATCCTCCTCCTCTTCCTTCCCCTCCCCCTTCTCAGGAGGCCCCGTCATCTTCTTCGAGCGGTGTCGAAGAGAAGCGCCGCAGGTTTGGCGAGCTCGGATACCCCATCGATTTTGAATGGCTGTTTGCCCTGGAAGGAGGATGACGGGGCTTCTCCCCGTCCCCCGCCTTCCTCCTCCTCCTCCTCGTCCTCCTCCCCCTCCCTCCTCCTTCTCCTTCTCCTCGCGCCCCTCCTCCTCGGCGCCTCCTCTTCCTCCTCCCCCTCCTCCTCCACTTCCTCTTTCCTCCTCCTTCTCCTCTTTCCCCCCCCCCCCCCCCCGTCCTCCTCACCCCCCCCCCGTCCTCGGGCTAGGAGGCGCTCGACGAGGATGCGATCGCGACGACGTATACCTACCACTGGGACGGGGTTGCGCAGGCATCGGGGGTGGGGGTCAAGACGTGCGTTCAGTTTCACCGCTGCCCAATCCTATGCAGTCTAGTGTCTGGGTTCGTCGTGGCATTTCCAAGCCCCAAACCCGTCGTCAGCTTGACGGTGGGCTTGGGGCGAGCGGTTGAACTGAACACCGACAGCTTCGCGCGCGCACACGCACGCACACGCGATCAAACACGCACACGCAGACACACACACACACACGCACCCATACACACACGCACGCACGCACGCACGCACTCACGCACACACACACACACACACACACACACACGCACGCACGCACGCACGCGCGCGCGCACGCGCACGCACAGACACACACGCACACACACACGCACGCACGCGCGCGCACGCGCACGCACACACGCACACACACGCACGCACCTCTTCACCCACGCTGCCCTCCTCACGCACCCCACGCTCGTATCGCCCTTCCCCCTCCTCCGCCTTCGCACCCTCTTCCCCGTGTATTCATCCTCGCCCTCCTCCTTCTTCTAGCCGAGGTGGCGTCTGAGAAAACCGATGCTGAGAAAATCCCCAAACATCGAGTTTGGCCTTCCCGCAGGCTGCGTGCAGGCTCGCGGGCGGCACCGCGAACCCCAAGCCCGACTACGGCACCATGAACAAAGGCACCGACGGCGACGCCGACGCCGAGGCGGCGCTTCGCTGGTCGGACGGCTCGTCGCGGTCAGTCCCAGGCGCGAAGCATGCTGACCTCAAGGACATCAAGAAGTCTGGCGAGGGCATCTTGTGGAGCGGCAAGAACGGCGATCAAGAACGGGTATGGGTGCAGATCGGCTCGAGGAAGACTGAAAAGTTCATCGCGATCTGGGAGGGGAATCAGGGGAGAGCCAAGAAGATGGCCATGGTTGTCAACCTCAACATGTCGGATGCCATGGACGAGGCCAGCGCGAATGAGCTCCTGATAGAGATGGCGCAGGCATACGCGCGTGATATGACAGACAAGCAGTCCATGGAGGTTAAGAAAAAGAACTTCGTGGACAACTCCAAGCAGACCATGAAGAGGCCAGCTGCAGCTTCGTCGAAGGATGAGGAGCCGCTGAGCCGCGATGTGGGCGACGCTGAGGCTGAGGAACAGCATGGAGAAGGCGAACCACTGGTGTCGGCAACTGACGGGGCGACGATTCCGAGCCACCTGTCGAGCGGGCCAAGAAGCGCCCAGCTGCAGCCGCCGTCGAGTCCAAGCCAGCTGCGACGACCAAGGAGGGCAATGAGACGTCCGGCAAGGACAAGGGCACGAACGCGGGCAAGGCGGGCAAGGGCACGGAGGAGAAGACCGCCAAGGGCACCATGAAGTACGACAGCCCCGTGATCGACAACAAGATGCAGGTGGGCGAGGCGAGCAGCATCCAGCGCCTGCAGGCGCCGCCGCAGGCGCCGCCGCGGGGAGCGGGCCCTAGCGCAGGCCAGGGCAGCGACGTCGGCTCGCCACCGCCCGCATCGTTCGATGGTATTTTGTGGTGACATCTGGTTTTCAGGCACCTCCCAGCACATCCCTGAACATAGTGATGGCGGGGAGTCAACCACAAAAACACGACTGCATTTCATAGCCGCACCTTCTCCGATCGAGCAGCGTCGCCGATGCAGAGGGGGCCGATGCATCGCCGATGCTTGCGAGCCAGAGCCCCAACTGGCGACCCCAAGGATATGAGATGGGGGTTAAGGGGGAGGGCAGGGGGCGGAGGGAAGGGACTTGGCGGAAACATGAGGAAAGGGAAGATTCGAACGGAGGAAATGGAGTGCAAGAGGGCAGGATGAGGGGGGGTCGCCCATTCAAACGGTCAGCCAAGCTCACGATCGGAAGACTCCTCGGGCAAAGCTTCAGTACTCAGGAGTGTCGGCTCAGTGGTTATTGCTGTGGCAGCCCGATCTGTTCGAGACCGCCACGTACCTTGGGATACTGCAGCTGTCAGCCCCTGGTTGGCCATGCCGATCTCGATCTCCAGCGACGACGAGCCGCTGAGTCAGAAGCTGCGGGAGGCCGCCCCCGCCGAGCTCGCTGGCGCGGCGCTGGGCGTGGGGGGCTCCCTAGAGGGCGCCCCAGCTACCCAGGCGGCCGACGCTGAGGCCGCCCCCAGGGTGGCCCCTGAGGCCGCCCCTGGGGCAGAGGCCCAGGGCATGCAGCCGCGGGCCGACGAGGGCCTGCAGGACGAATGGGCCAAACCAGCCAAAACTTAAACAGGGGAGAACTCGTGCTCCTCATTTTGATGTTTACGTTTAAACCCTGCCGCGCGACGGAGGAGCCCGCTTGGCCACGTCGCTTGGCCTGTTGTATCCTGCAGGAGCCGTCTGCCCCGCGCGGCCATGACCCTGGCGCTGGGGACGGAGGATGTGGCCAGCGACCTTGGGGAATTGCAGATGATATTGCCTTCGCGGTGCGCGCGAAGCAGGAGATTAATGTTGAGGCGGCTCCTGGATCCGACGCCCAGCCGCGGCCCCCCCGTGGCTGGGGGCGCCCCGCCGCCGCAGGCTGAGGCTGCCCCGCCGCCGCAGGCGGCCCCGCCGCCGCAGGCTGCCCCGCCGTCGCCTCGCGACGAGAGTGACAACTGGGATGGCTTATATGAACCCGCCACCAAGGAGGCGCTAATGCAGCACATCAACAACGAAGTGAAGAGGCTCCAGAGCCTGGCCACATACGACGTGAACAGCGAAGCGGGCTGGCAGATGGAGCAGGACTTGAAGGAGTTCTACAGCGGGAACCTGGTCAAGGACCTGCACAGGCGATACGTTGAAGAAGGAGGTGACAAAGACGCCAAGGACCCCAACACCCCAGAGTCCCTGTGGAACGAGAAGTCCTTCTGGGAGAGCATTCGAAAGGACGACTACAAGTTCAAGGCGGAGCAGGTGGCTGGAATCCCGCATCGCGGTGGAAGCGGGCGCTCGATGCGTCCAGGCAATTACGGGCAGACTACGCCGCCACGAAGGACTACTTCAACAAAGAGGAGTTCCGTGCATATTGGGCAAAGAGAACGGCGGACGAGTGGATGCAGGACAACAGGTTCAAGGAGACTGAGGAGAAGATCAACGCGGAGGCGATGAAGGGCAGGTGCTACAGCTTGGCCAAAATTGCCGTGGAGGAAGGTGGAGGGCCACAGGGTTGGCGCGCCACGATGAAGTACGCGGTCAACGCATCACTTCTGGGCAACGAGTTCGTGAACTACGATTCAATGGTCGAGGATATCAAGTTTTTGTACCTGACTCACGAGCTGCCAGAGATCTACGCCAAGAAGCTGCAGAAGTTCCGCGCGTGGTCTACACTTCCTTCCCCTCAGACTGCGACCGCGAGTTCCTCGGGCACCCCCGCGCCAGGCCGTCGGGAGGATGGCGCTGCAGCTCCGAGCGGCCAGCCAGTCGTCCAGGCCGAGGCCGACCCACGTCAAGCGACCGTTGGCAGGCGCGGGTTGAAGAGGACCCAGGACGCAGAGGATGAGACCACGCCCGACGTGAGGAAGCAGAAGGTGGGCACGGCCAATGGGAAGAAGCGGGCCACACCGAGCAAGGACAGCGGCGAGGGCAACGGCTCGGCCGAGAAGGACAACTCGAACTACTTCAAGGACTACAAGTACACCAGGAGCAGCTCCGACACAGTGATGGCCAGCCACACGTCCCTCATCAATAAGATCCCCAAGGAGCCTGCCTGGAAGTGGGCGAACGGGAAAGAGAACCGCGGTGACCTCGACCAGGCGATGGACGAGGTGACTTCGGGACTAACATGTCTCATCCATTCGGGCCCGCTCGGGGCCGAGATGGCGCCCAGCAAAAATTGGTAAGTGGCGCTCCTCCAGCCTGCCATGCCCCTTCCCCACGACACCACTCCAGAACATTCCAAACCGCTGCTCCCGCTCCTGCTCCGTTTACTCATCTGTCTCATTATCCTGGTATGTTGCTTAACTCCGCGTCTCCACTCCTCGAGCTCCTCCTCCCTCTCCACTCCTCTGCCACTCCTCCAACTTCTCCTCCACTTTTCGCATGGTATCCCATGCTCTATTGTGCACTCACCCAGGTGACGGAAGTGCTCTCACAGCGCCCCGCGTTGTCTGAGCTGTTGCTCATCCAGCCCAAGAACCTCATGGCCCGCAAAAAGCAGATCGGGGAGCCCGCGTTCCAGAGCCTTCTGTCCCAGGCGACGAAGCAGTTGGATCCCAAGGTGCTGAACTTCCAAAAGGCTGTCAATGGGATTATTAGGCAGAAGGCGGCTCGCGAGGGCGAGGAGTAGATTGGGGCAGCAGCAGGTCGGGTATATGCAGCGATCGCTGGTCTCGAGCATGGGCGCTGTACAATGATTAGTGCCCCGTGGTCGCCTCGGCCGCTGCCAGATTGTAATTTGCGAGCTCGAGTCTTCGAAGCAATTGTTTTTCGAGTGAATCGGAGACGAATCTGGAAATTGTTTTGAAAAAGCAAGATTCTGCAACTCCCCCATGAAAAACTTAGCGCCTCCCCCAAAAACATGAAAAACTTAGCGTTTCCCCAAATAAGACACATGGAATTCATGATCGTCAACGAAAACCACCGGCTAATATCCGCTTAAACTCGCCGACACCACATGCGCCTAAATTGCGCCTAAACTCGCCGACGCCATCTGCGCCTAAACTATCACGAAACCATGTGTTTTTTACAGTTAAAGTGCACCCCGCGACAGCGCCTAAACAACCGCCTAAACTAACGCCTAAACTCAGCCTAAACTCCGGCTAATCTGGGGGGGGGGGGAAGAAACCAGATTTCCAAGATTCGGCTTCGAATTTTCTCACCGCATGGGGATGCGGTGCACCTGGTCCGAGTTTTGATTGCTACAGCAGCAGATCACTCTCCGTTGCTGGATCCATCATTCGTCTCCAGCATTCTCCACTCTACCACCCTTCCCCCTCTCCTCATCATCCCCACTCGTGGCCACCTCGCCCTGCCCTCTCCACCCAGACACTCCCCCGTCGGTCTTTTCCGCTCGCTCCCCCCGTTCCGACCCAGTCACCGTCGTCGCTTACATTCCCCATCTCGCGTCATCCGCCCATCATGCAATGACCCAGATGTCTCTAGAGTGATTGAGGTCTTGTACAGACGTCACGTGTAAATTCCCATTATAGATGTTGTGCCATCATGCGTTGCATTAGCATCTCACCTGTAATGTGTGCGGTTGTGTCCGTCGTCTACTGTTTTATCTAATGTGTCTCGTCTGACTCTTTGCCCTTGGACTCGCTGCAATCATTATAGGGCGGTTGCCGATAGCCGATTTTTTGCATCGGATATTCGCCGCGCTGTCGTTGTTTGCTCGTATACGCTGCCAACCTTCCTATGCGTAGCACTGCGCTCCAGATACGTTCGGTCGGAGGATGGTGCTGCGCAAAGGAAGGCGGGCGCAGGTCTGTTTCACCTGCTGCTGGAGATTCACGCTTCGTGCAAGTTCATGAGTGCGCAGAAGTTCTGTCGGATCTGCGAGTTGATCAGTATATGTAAAGCTCCAGGGGCCGAGTGGTGGGAGTACAGTTTGGCGCAAGGAAAGGACAGTTGGGCACGCAAGAAACATCTGGACAGCAAGAAACATCTGAACACGGGGCCCACATCCACAACAACAATGCCTTGCAGTTCCGTGCGGTCACCGAACAGGCACAATACTTTGTCGTGTAGGCGAGTTGATTTAACACTTGCACAGGAGGTAGCGGATAACACAGATACCACTGATCGTCTGTCTGGAGGGTTCTCGGACGACCCGACCACTGTGCTGTCCCTTCCTTGCTTCCAGAACCATCCTCATGTGAGGGATGTGCTTGTCCATGGGGGGCAGCTTCCTGTTCCGCTCGGGATCTATATGGATGGGGTTAGGTACACCCCAGCCCAAGCGGGCCATCAAGACTCATTGTTGCAACTCTCTGTCATCAATCTCGTCTCGTGGAAGCGGCACTTGTTAGGATTTGTTCGCAAAGGGGACATGTGCGATTGCGGGTGCGGCGGCAAGCATACAGTCCGTACCCTGATGAGTGTCGCAGTTTGGCAGTTAGAGACCCTCGCGAGCGGGCAATGGCCGCTCCAGAAACATGACCAAGGAGAGTGGTCAGATACGGAGGAGTGGGCTTCGCAGGCTGGTCAGGACGTTGGCATGAGAGGATGTTTATTGTGGGTGAAGGGGGACTGGGCTGAATATGCCCAAACCCTCGGGATGAAATCTTGGGGGAACACGTATAACTGCTGCCCAATTTGCCCAGCCCCGAAGGACTCGATCAGCTTGGTATCGCCATCCATGGTCACTTCCGCTGGCATGCTTTTTCCAGATCGGTCAAGTCGGGACTACGAGATTGCGTGTCAAAGTTGCGAGGTCATTGTCTATGTCGAAAATGAATGTGACAGAGCAGCCATCCTAGCAAAACTAGGGTATGCAGTTGACGGGACGGCGGCAGACGGCAAAGTCATGACGGAGGAGTTGCTCGTGGGAGGGGTCCGTTTGAAACAATGGGACCGCTTGGAACAATCCTCGGACCTCCCCCTCATCCGAGATTTTGGATCGGAAGAGTTACCTTTTCGAGCTGTTTTCTGGAGGTCTAACTATGACGAAAGGGGGAGGAGCACAGATTGGCTGACGAATAGATCGCCCCTTTTTGCCAGGTCGTTGCGGGTATCCCCAGCAACTGCCTTGTGCATCGATTCGATGCACACCGTTTTCTTCGGGCCTCTCATGCGGTGGACGTCAGCGTCTTTGATGAGGATTATCAAACTAAACCCGTGGGGCGTTTCCGCAGAACAGACGTTCAAACGACTAGAAGCTGAGCTCTTTACATATTTTGACAGGGTTGGTCAGCCGCACGACAAAAGATTGGGGGGGCTGACAAAGAAAATGATGTCAAAACCAACCACTGGGGCACACCCTGGCAGCGTGATCAAATGTAAAGCAGCCGAGTCTGGAGTTTTGTTTGAGTTTGCACTTGACCTCTTGCGGCGGTACGTCGCGAGGGTGGATCTCGGCGTAGCTCTGCTGAAGGCTGGGGAAGCAATGGCCGATTGGCTCCATGTCACGAGGACTGCAGACATCAGACTCACCAGGCGGGAGTACCAGACACTAACTGATTCCTGTGCTCGGTTTTTGATATACGCTAAAGAAGCCGAAGTTTACTTCACCCCGAAGTTCCACCTCTTCGGCCACCTCACAGTGAGGACTGAGTTTGGGGTTTGGAAGGGGCCCCTCTTGCGTCTAACTCCCAGCACCCCGTCGCCCCTCTTAGTAGTAAGTGCACGCATGCGAATATGCATACGCATCGCAAATCTCAAAGCATATACGTATGCAAATGCATATGTATGCGTGCGTGCGCGTATGCATGTATGCATGCACACATGTACATACGTATGTGCGTATATATAAAATGTGTGTGCATGTGAATCTATGTCGCCCTTCACCTCTGGCGTTTCTTTCCGTAGCGCACCTGCTCCCATTCCCCCCTCGCCACCTTTTCCAGCCCCCTCCACCCCCAGCAGCCCTCCCCCCCCCACTCCGGCCACCCTCCACCATCCCCTCCAGATGCCCTTACCCCTCCTTTGTATGCACGTGCATTGAAACAAAAGGCAGGCTCCAGAGGACGTGGGAATTCGGCAACCCACATGCCTATGCGACGTGGACCAACGAGAGTTTGAACCTGACTTTGAGGAATTGCGCACAACGTGCGCACAGGCGCACTATGGAGAGGACAGTGTTCTCGCGTTTCGCCGTCATTGCCAGGTTTAAGCCAGGCTCACACCTCTACGCCCCCAGTGTAGATCCAAATCACAGAGCGCGTGGCAGAAAGCGTAGATGGGGATATTCCTGAATGGTTTGTTTCTCGGGCAGCAGAGCTCGCCCCCGATTTCAAGGACCGCTACCTAACAATGAACAGTGCAGACGAGCTGCTTGCGATCATCCAGGCAGAAGTAAACAGGTGGATTACAGAGCAAGTTGCACTTGGCAGAAACATCGATGTATTCGAATTAGTATGTGGAGCTGGTGGCATATCTGACGCATTCGAGAAGTTGGGCAAACGTGCGAGGAGATTCGACCGGCATCTCTGTGAAAGTGTCTACGTTCGCCTTTTAGGGCTATAGTGGCAATCGCATGTTTCAGGTGGCTGGCCTGGTCGGACGAGCAAGCTCAGAACTTAGGATACCACGCGTCAACACATCGCCTGAAACCCTGCAAATTCAGAGCAAACAGATGACATACGCATGCACAAGAAACATATGACTGTCACTTTCGGGTTGAATCTGCCAGGCGGGGGGGGGGGTGACAGTGGGCCCAGCTACCCAGCCCCACATTCAAAGTTGGTGCGTGTTTCGTTCGCCCCCATGCGTACCCAGCATGTGTCCCAAGATGCCACCTCGCTCGCAGGTGGTCTGTGGGCTTGCTGGAGCATGTTCCAGGTGCGTCGGCACAGACTGTTCGCAATGGAGCCCGAATGCAAAACGTGGGGGGACCTGGCATCAGGCCATGCACTTCGCCACGTCGATGCTTGGGGCGACGAAGGGCGCCGCGACGTGCGGGAGGCGAACTTCATCGCCGCCCTCTTGTCGCGGCCCCAGCTAGCAAGGGAGGGCGCATCTCGGCCGTTTTGGCCAGCGGCCCCTCGATTGAATAATCATCTCTTCTCAGTCCTCTGGATCTGCACCTTCCTCCACCCCCCCCCTGCCCCCGCCCCGAGCGTCGCCCTTCCCACCCCCTCCCTTCTCAGCGATGCGGGGGGCCTCC